TGCTCTCTCTGGATCATGCAAAATAATACATTCAAGGGACGGCAAATAAATGTATTGTATTTACATGTGCACTGGAACTAGAAGAGGAACTGACACTGAGCATTTAAAGTATTAATATTAGAAGTTGTACATCTGGGCTGTAGTTACTCTGTGTAGCTAATTTCATGTATTTTTTCTATGGCTGAAACAATTAATCATATTAACAAATTATTTAAATAATCATGAACTATATAATTGATTAATCGTTAACTGGAGTATAGGGCCACTAAAATGTGCCTTTAGCCGACAGAGCGACCCACTTAGAGCAGGAATTATACCAAGATTGTAACAAATATGTAAACATTTTGCATTTAAGAAGTAAAAAAAAAAATCAATAGTCAATATTCTCCATCCAAAACTCCTCCAAAGGAAACGTTTAAACGTTTCTGTTTCACCTGGTTCCATTTCATAAAAGATCTTCTTTAAGGAGCCTTTGGCTATCCGATTAAAAGGTAAAATAAAAGAAATCCTAACGTTGTTAACTTACATTTCTCAAGTTCCACAAATCAAAAAACTCTCTCCTGCTTCTTTACAGAACTCCAATCAGAAGCTTTCGCCTGTTTTAGCGTAGATAATATTTTTTTTAATGTGGACTAGTTTCGTAGCCCAATATTAATCTATTTTAGCGTCTTTTTTTTGCGCTCCAAGCACCCGCACGCGCGCACATACAGACTAGAAAACACGCAATCAGAAAGAGAGAAGGCGGAACTTAAGGCAGAATAATCAGAGAGTTAAACCGCGCAGCACAGTTGATGCGCTGCTATGTGAAAGGGACAGGAAAGAGCAGGCAGCTGCAGCTACCAGGCAGAGAAGCTGCGAGAGGAAAAGAAGCGGCTGCTGTATAGTAAATTATAAACATGTTGTTCACATCCAATTATTGGTAGGGACAAATAGGTCCTTCCAAAATTTTGGTAGGGACATGTCCCTATGGTCCCTATGCAAACCTACGCCCATGCAATAAAGGGATGTTTTAATTCTCATGTGCACATTTTTAAATCATCAGCAATAATATTCACCTTACTTTCACTTTATTTTTTAGCAAATAATCCAACATTAAACAACAAAACAACAATATTAAAACAAAACAAAACCAACGATTTACCAAAAAAAAGGAATAGGCTGAAGCAAAGCGTATTATTGCCTACCCTGTTTTATACTTACAACCTTTACAACCCACCAGGTTCTTTACCTCGTGTATAAATATTCAAATCTACATAACATAGGATTTTATCATTTTACATTTTAAAGCCCTTTTGAAATTCACCAAGAAAGGACATAACTTTAAATCATCATTCAATTCATTCCACATTTTCACACCAATAACTGAAACACATCTAAATTTTATCTGGCTTGTCTCTTTTACACATTCAAATATAAACAAACCTCGCAAACTATATTTATTCCCTCTTAACTTAAATAATTTAAGTTTAAAATATTAGTAGAATAATATAAGTGCTAAACAAGGCATATATGCAGACCTGCTCAGATTAATGTAGTGGGAAGCAGTTATATACGCAGTTAAACCAAAATGAAAAATACCATGAGGGAACTTAGATAATGTGGCATATTTCAAAAAGGGTGTATAAAGAAAAAAGGACAAATTTAATATCCACAGCCACCAGAAAACATCCATCACAGAACCTATAAAGGGAGAATGGAGGAACCTGAAAGAGCTCAACTCTAACTTGTGGCCAGTTTTTACCCCATCAGTTTTCTTTTACAGTCGTCGTATGAAAAAAGTAATGTTATACGAGATGATCATCGGTCTTTCTTGGTTTGTAATATTTTAAAGCTAGCGGATGTTGTAAAGGTAAATTGGGTGTGAATCAACTAGGGCTGCAACTAATGATCTTTTTCTTTTTTTTTTTTTTTTTGAAATTTTGAAAATAGATTAAACTGTTTATTATTATGAATCCATTAATAATTGGATAGCCTAAGATTCCATAAAGTAGACTTTTTGTGAAAATTCAACCCGGTAAAACTAAAACTTTTCAATTCAATTTAGTTTAGTTTATTTCTATTGCACCAATTCACAACACAAGTCATCTCAAGGCACTTTACAGTTCAACCAGATCATCCAGTCAGATTGATACAAAGTTTTCTATCTAAGGAAAACCAGTTGATTGCATCGACTCATTGACTCAAATACAATCCCTCACACTAAGCATGCTTGTAGCGACAGTGGAGAGGAACAACTCCCTTTTAACAGGAAGAAACCTCCAGCAGAACCAGGCTCAGTGTGAGCGGCCATCTGCCGAGGCCGACTGGGGTTCAAGGAGACAGAAGCAGAGATAGAAAAAGCAGCTGTAAAAGGCGGCCCCGTCCAGGAAACACACAGCCAGGCCGTGCACTGAGCCAGCTCCCATGTCAGAGGATGAAGAGAGCACAACCAGCCAGTCATGGTCAGAGAAACAGGACTACACTGGAAAACAGACTGATCTCCAGCATCTATAAAGAAGGGTGTTGATGAAAGCAGCACAGCTGATGTTTCTCTCCAGGATGGAGTCACAGCCAAACAGGAACACTTCCACTTGAGGACTTCTGGATAGAGCATATTTATAGACGAAAAAGATTTTGATCTCAAATACAAAATATTTATATTATTTTTTATTGTTTTAGTGTAATTCCTGCTCTAAGTAAGTCGCTCTCTCAGCTACAGGCATGTTTTAAAGTCTCCAGTTAACGATTAATCGATTACTAAATTAGTTGAAGATTATTTCAATAATCGATAAAGCCAATTAATTGTTTCAGCCCTGGGCGCGGTTGATAGCACTGCTGCCATGCAGCAAGAAGGTTTCAGGTTCGATTCCCGGCCTGGGATCTTTGTGCATGGAGTTTGCATGTTCTCCCTGACCATGTGTGGGTTCTCTCCTGGTATTCCGGCTTCCTCCCACAGTCCAAACACATGAATGTCAGGTTAATTGGCTTCTCTAAAGTCCCCTTAGGTGTGAGCTTGTGTGCGAATGGTTGTTTGTCTCTGTGTTGCCCTGCGATGGATTAGCGACCTGTCCAGGGTGTGCGCCGCCGCTCGCCCTTAGACAGCTGGAGATAGGCACCAGCAGCCCTCGCGACCCCACTTGGGATTAAGCGTGTCTGAAAATAGATGGATGTTTCAGCCCTAAAATCAACTTTATCTTTTCATTATTCTGTTTTTGCTTTTCTTTGTAGCACTTCCTCATATTTATGTAAATTGCTCATTAAATAATATTCATTATTATCATTATTATAGTTTTAAATGATAATGATCACTACCTCTAAAATGCCTTAGTCAGATCTTCATGGTTTTGTACAGACATTCTCAAACAAGCAGGGGCCAAACCAAATTTTTTTGCATGATTTAAATTCACCAATCTTTTTAGATCACCTGCATCATGCCAACTTATTGCATGTGCAATGATTTTTGTCCATTCACCCCTACTCATGGGGATACTTGATGATCAGACCCCACCTGTGCAGGAAAGCTACCATCTCAAATCAATCTGAAAACATTCCCACTCTGAAACATTTCAGAAAAGCTTGAGCTTATAATGGACTTGAGCTTGAATCAAGACCCAACTCTGTTGCAAGACTTGTAGATTACTGCTGTCAGGTGCTTTCTATCCAATCTGGTTTAGCTCTAGCTAGTTTGCAAAGAAAAATAGACTACAAAGCTTCTAAAAATGAGATGAATACGAATGCAGACCACCTACTAATGCACTGTTTTTGTTGGAGTATCACATAAAGTTCCCAAATAATAAAATTAAGTTTGTCCCTAACCCTTCCTACTGCATCTGTTGGACTTGGTATAACACACCTATACGCTGATTATAAAGATATATATGAGGCCCTTTGCCACTGCAACTCTAAAATAAACGAAAAATAGCCAATTTCCTTAGAATGACAGCGGGAACATTAGGGTCCTGCCCCACAGTTAAACATTGTCCAGACAGACACAGGCACAAGTCTGTCTCAGTCCCTAAAGACAACCCTTTCAGTGCCAAGAGGAAGCGGCTAACGCTTTAGCTGATGACTTCCCTTTTCAATGGAGTGCAGACGCCTTCAGATTCCTGTGACATTACAGAGTACTCAGGCCCTCTCCAACAGCATCCCACAAAGCTCCCTGCAGCCAGATAATAACACTTTTCCTCCTGTCGGTGAAATTCTGTGCCTGTCTAGACCGCAAGAGGCTCTGCATGGCACCGGTTTGTCCAATTATAGGAGGGTCAGCTGCTTTACTGGGCCTGGGTCATGAAAGCTGAAATCTGCTCCATGTGTCACAATGCAAGAGCGAGCATTTCAACCTTCAGCTCTGCACTCAATGCTAAGCCTGTGAGAGCATATGAGCAGAAGGAGGAAGCTGGGTGTTCACATCGATGTTGGACACCACCTGTTAGAGGGGCCCGAAGCATACCATTATCTCCAGAAGAGGAGAATCTGGCCCTGCGGGCGGAGGCCGTAAAAAGAGCAGAAAGCTGTGGAGGATTTCTCCTTCTCTGCAGGCACAGAATGGGAAGCCAGACTGTGAGAAAGCAGGGAAGAACCTCTCAGGCTGTCATAGCCTTCAGCTCTTCAGGAACATCCTTGGTCAAGTTGCTCTTAAAACTATACGGCCTGACAGACAATTACTGTCATTAAGGTCATTCCACCTCTGAATGTTCTCATCTTTCTGCATGTAATAATCCTTCCTTGTTTGCTTTTACTAGGTAATAAGGATGGAGTTTACTTTATGGCTAAATTCACCCTCATTTATTTGACCCATTTTTACTGGTTACCTTACCGCACAACATCAGCTTGTTTCAGATGTGGATGCAGAAGGACAACATTCACTCCCTTTCTTCATTTCCTCCTGCAGCTGAGATAAAACTCACGCTTTATTGGAGAAAGAACATGTTTACGGTTTCCAGCGGTGACTGACTGTACGCTCAGTCCCAGCTAAAACACATGCTCCTACAAACTCTTGTCTCTGTTCTGGATTTTTGCAGGTTGTCCTGGGGCAAAGAAAACAGAGTTCTTGACGAGTGTTCTTGATGCGCTGTCGACAGACATGGTGCATGCTGTCACAGATCCAGCCTCTGCCGGAAGGTATGGAAGTGTAAAACGCACCTCTTGCGATTAGCTAAACACATCAGTAGGCCAAGTCTTTTACCTTACGGCATGAATGCAGTTTACGCAACTAACATGTTCGGATTCATTCACTTGCACAAATGTTAGAAATAGTTGTTCAAATTATGGAATGCAACAAATAAGCTAGTTTATTTTAGAAGGTTGGTTACAAAAGTTAAACTCATATAGATTAATTCCAGAAAGTATAAATACTGAAAGTATTTATTTTTAGGTGATGTTAGTGGTCATGGGTTACAGCTACTTAAATGAAATTAAATAAAAAGCAATAGAAATATGTTGTTGTTTTTGAGGTCCCAGATGCAGAGGCGAGGAAGCAGAGGTGAGTTATTGTAGTTTTAATTGAGTTCTTACAGGCAACAGAAGCAGGAATCCAAAAATCCAACGTAAAAATATAAAACAAACCAGAACCATGAAGACATCAGGGAAAACATGAACGAGGAGCCAGGAAAAGAAGAGGAAAGATGAGGAACACGCACTGAGGAACTGCACAAGGAGCGTATTTATGGGAGACTGAACAAAGACAGGACTAATGAGCTGATTGGGAGCAGGTGTGAACAGAGGCTTCTAGAAGGAGACAGAGGACAAGCAAAGAAAAACTAAGAACTCAAATATATCCAGAAAGCACAAATAAAGCTAGAAAACAAGGAAAAACATCTATCAACGTTAAAGGGACACTATGCAACATTTTTCAGTTAATTAATGTGTTCCATAACGTTATGGATGACTAAATGAGTCATTTCAGGTTGAACAAAGGTATTCTCGGCCGCCCTGGTGGTCTGTGGGGGAAATACTGCACTTGCAACTGCAGGAGCACCGACCCGCACCCACAGGCTCAGAAGTCTCGTGAGAGTCAGTCTTGCTTTACGGCGAGAACTGCTACACGCCCCCAGTTAAAAGCATTCTCGTTGCCAGCACAGTGGCAATCTTTGTGCAGTTATGCTACGTTCACGCAGCAAAAGCAGCAAAATCGCGTCTGCTGCTTCCTTTTTGCTGCTTGTACCAGTTAGTTCTGACGCGTGGCTGAAGCAGCTTTGCTGCTCCGGCTGTGTCTGAGGCACGTTGGGCGGAGCTTCACTATCCTTTCTCTGCCTTGCAGCTATATTTGCTGTGATCAGTGGGAATAAAGTAGTTTTAATATGTGTTTAAGTGAGAAAATACACCTGAAAACGTAATCAGTGCAGTCAGTTCATTCAGATTATTATCCTGCCTTTAATATTTTTTCTGTCGGAGCCGCTCAGACCCCCACGTACCAGCGGGGCGCCAACAGTATGGATCCCTTCATCAGCAGCGGTTCACCGCGGCAGCTGGTAGGTGTTTTTCATCTAAATAATCCAAACTGCATATTCTGCCGGCAGATTTCTGCATTTTAAGTTAATTTAGGCGTCAATAAACTGTTTAAGAGGAGTGATCATCAGCGCTGTGTCTCTCTCCCTGCGTTAAACGCACCCGACGCGCTGCTTCAGCTGCTCAGACGTGCTGCGCCTGGTGCTCAAAACGCGCCGCTGGACCTTTTGCTGCGCCTTGACGCGCGTCAACCATTGATTTTGCATGTAAACTCGCTGCTTCTGTCGCGCCAGCTACGTCCAGTATGAACGCAGCGTTAGTCATTCGCTGCTAAGCTCAAAACAACCGCGCCTGGATTGACGGAGAAACCAGGAGAACAGCTGTGCATATTTACGACAGTGCACTTTTACTTTCGCCCTCTGGAGGGAGCCTCACTGGAAAATCAACACCGGTTGCATAGTGTACCTTTAAACTGAAAACTCGCAGAAAACTTAACAGAACCAGGACCCTGACATGCCATATATGTCTTTTGGCAATCCTATAACTAATAATGTTCAATGCAAAAAAAGTTTGATCCAAATAATTAATTTTTTATCTTAAAATAAGTGCGTTTTTTCTTGAATTGAGTAGGTAATTGAGACACTATGCTAATGGGACATGTGTAAAAAAAGAAAAAAACAATTGGATTGTCTTATTTCAACTGCATATTATCTTCTTTTAAGAGTAAAAAACTCCATTAAACACCAACAAATTGGCAGATAATCTTATTTACCTGTTAATAAGATTATAATAAGATTAATTTCTTAAATTAAGGGTAACACTTAATTTAAGAATTTTGTAATTATTTTTAGATGGTCTTTGCGGTGTAGCTTTTTGGAGAATGAACCTCAGCATTTCATATTATGTCATGCCACCACTTCCAGAAACTGAGAAGGATTAGAACCACCGGAAAAATAAAAATGGCCACTCAAGGAAATTAAAAAGGTTGATAATTTTTTACTTTAATCTCAAAGTTCTGACTTTATTCTCAGAGAGTGAAGTGAAAATCCTCAGCTGTGGTGATAGATTTTAATTCTGAGACTAAAAGCATAAATAAAATGAGAATAAAGTCAGATTAATTGATTACATTTTTGGCCCTACTTCATACTCTGTGTAAGGAACTTCTGACGCTAAAAAGAGTTTTTTTTTCTCAGACAGACATTTAATATCAACTTGTTGTATCATTTTGGAGCTGCTGTTCTGTAAGATGAGCATACCCCATCAGACAAGCATACTCATAGTAAATAAGCAAGCGCAATATGTCAGATTTGCATTTATTCCCTTAGTTTTGTGCGTAAAATACACCTTAAACTACCTCGACGAACGTTTATGCCTTTAATTATGTACAAAAAAACTATTTAAGGTCAAATCACCATACGCTTCAAAAAACACCATAAAGCAATTAAATATTTTTTAATATAAGGTAGTTTAAAGCGTATTTTTCGTACAAAACTACAGGGATAAATTAAAGGGATAAACAGGTTCTGACTATGGGTATGCTGGTCTGACTGGGTATGCTCATCTGACAGAACACCGACACTGAAAAGGTGGGACCTCTGCTTGGCTTAAGTGTAGTTTTGGTACAATCAATAGAAGCCGGTCAATTTCTCTAAGGATCTATTGTCAAACAGGATGAAGCGGGTCTGAAAGGTACCAATGCATAATCACAATGGTACCAGTATGCTTAACTGGCCAACAACCAACTTCAGCCATATGGAAAACTACAGAGTAGAAGATGACAGAGAGCAGAGCCAACAATGCAGATGACCTAACAGAGCAAGAGGGGCTTTCTGAACACCTGAGCAGAACCTGATCCCTGTCATGACAAGCCACAATAATTAATACATATAAATGTTTGCATATGCATTTAAACAGCCCTGCATTTCTGCATAAAATTGCATTGATCCTCTAATCTGAATTTCCCTACACTGCAAAAAATTTAATATAAATAAGTCTTTTTTTCTTGAATTGAGGAGGAAAGTGAGACACTTCTTGTCAATTGAATACACTGGAAAAACGATCTAGAAAAAAGTAAACATTTCTTAAATTAAGGGTATTTTCCCTTAATTTGAGTAGGTAAATGAGATGATTTGCCAATGTGATGAGTATTTCTACTTTTAAAATAAGATAATTAGATAAAATGCAACTGAAGTAGGTAATCCATAATAAACTGGGGATACACTGCAATAACGACCTAGAAATAAGTCAAAATCTCTTAAGTGTATTCACCCTTAATTTGAGTAGGTAAATAAGATGATTTGGATCTTTACTCTTAAAATAAGGTAATTAGATAATATACACTTGAAATGAGACAATTAAATAGTTTTCTTTCTTATTTTAAATGTAAATTGTTTTGTTCCATTGGCAAAGTATCTCACCTCATCAATTCAAGAATACTTTTTTCCAGTGTAGATCAATCTGTGTGCAATAAATCCTCACAATTTATGAGTTTTCACTGAATAAATTTAATGAATCCCGTTTTCATTGAAATTTGCTTTTACTGAGATGTATTTTTCTGTGTCCCTTAGGATGGCAGAGCCTGACCCCAGCCACACTCTGGAGGAGAGGGTTGTCCACTGGTATTTCAGTCAGCTAGATAAAAATGGCAGCGGAGACATCGGAAAGAAGGAGATCAAGCCTTTCAAGCGTTTCCTGCGCAAAAAGTCCAAGCCAAAAAAGTGTGTGAAGAAGTTTGTGGAGTACTGCGACATCACCAACAACAAGGCGCTTTCCCTGCAGGAGCTGATGGGCTGCCTCGGGGTGACCAAGGAAGAAGGTAAGCTGAAAGAAACAGCCTCGCAAGTCTTAGTATTTAAGTGCACTGGAAAAACAAACTAAAAATAAGTAAACATTTCTTAAAATAAGTGTATTTACCTTTAATCTGAGTGGGTAAATGAGATAGTTTGCCAATGCAATTAGTATTTTTAATATAAGATAATGATGTACTATAATATGTACTAGAAATACACTGCATAAAAATGAAATCTGAATAAGTCATTTTTTCTTAAAATAAGTGCAATTTTTCTTGAATTGAGGAGGTTAGTGAGACACTTTGCCAATGGAACAAGACAATTTACATTTAAAATAAGAAAAAACTATTTTATTGTCTTATTTCAAGTGAATATTATCTAATTTTCTTATTTGAAGAGTAAAAATACTCATTCCATTGGCAAATAATCTAATTTAACTGCTCAAATTAAGGCTAAATACGCCTAATTTAAGAATTTTTTACTTCTTTCTAGATCGTTTTTGCAGTTTAAGACAATGCAATTGTGTTTTCTTATTTTAAGTGTAAATTGTCTTATTCCATTGGCAAAATGTCTCTTTTACCTCCTCAATCTAAAAAACAAATGCACTTAATTTAAGAAAAAATGACTTGTCTAGCTTTCTTTTTTCCAGTATAACACATTGAATATTTAGATTCAAACTGTCCACAGCTGATAAGGATGAGATTCAGACAGATTTTTGAATCAGTCTATTAAGATCAGCTACTACTAGTTACTAAACAAAAGAAAAATCCTAAAGAAGAAGGGAGGAAATGAACACTAATCCAATCTACACCCTTTTTATGAAATGATTGATCACTGATTATACACTGGAAAAAATGATGTAGAAAGTAGTAGTAAAAGTAACACTTTCTTAAATTAAGTGTGTTTACCCTTAATTTGAGTAGATAAATTAGATGATCTACCAATATAATGAATATTTTAATTAGGCATGCAAGATATAATCGGCCCCCTATCGGTATCGGCCTTAAAACTGAATATCGGACATCGGCCACCCCACCGATATTTAACCCGATATTTGATCAGCTTCTGAGTTTCTAAAGTCTAAAAAAAAATAAAAAATACTACTACTTCTTCTTCCTCAAAAACTTCTTTTTTACAGACTTAAAAACTTCTAAAGACGAGGGAAAAATATTGATACATTAAAATATCCCAATATCTTCATATGCTGATATATTGCCATTTAAAAACACCATATCAATCTCTTTTACTAATGAAATATTGCTATATGTCATCGTTATGCTACGAAATCTCCCGAAAATTCACGAAATAATGCCATATGGTTATATGTTGATATATTGACGCGGTATCGATCTATTTTACTAACAAAATCTCACAAGAATTTGCAAAATATCACGAGAGTTTGCAACAGAACGATGAAATTTCACGAGATTTTGAAAGTAAAATAGATCGATACCGCGTTTTTAAAAATCTATTTGATATCAGCATATGAAAATATATTTGAGTACATTATTTTTCAAAGTGTCAGAAATGGATAACAAAACTGATATTTTCTATGACTACTTATTTTTGTCCAGCTTTAACATCGGTAACGATATCGGTTATCGGCTACATGAGTTTTAAAATATCGGCATATCGGATATCGGCCAAAATCCCAATATCGTGCATCCCTAATTTTAACTCTTAAAATAAGATAATTAGATCATATGCACTTGAAATAAGACAATGCAATTGTTTTTTTCTTATTTTCAATGCAAATTGTCTAGTTCCATTGGTAAAATGTCTTTCTTTGCTCCTCAAATCAAGAAAACAATACACTTATTTAAAGAAAAAATGACTCATGTAGATTTACATTTTTTGCAGTGTAAGTATAAGAATTACCATCAGAGTAGGGCTGCAACTAACGATTATTTTAAAAATCGATGAATCGGACGATTATTTTTTCGATTAATCGATGAATCGGACAAAAAATATTTTTTATATTAACCTCTTTATTCCAAAATAAACATTTTAGACAGAACAAACAAGCACACAAGTACAGGTTGCTCATTAACTGTACTGGTGCAATATGAAAAATAAATGTTTGTGTTAAAACTACGCAAACTTACATGAGAAATGTAGCTGTACATCCACAAAATATAGGCTACTTTGTTTCATAAAGCGCAAAAAAAGACATTTTTGTTTTTAAAAGCCTCTAAGGGGTTCAAACAATAGGCCCCCCATTTCAACAAATGAGTTTTTTTTAGACTAGAAGAGTTCTGCCTTTTAAGACAGGAAAGTACAGCAGTTAAAGTTGCTACTTGAGAAAATACTGAACCATAGAGATAAAAATAGCCCTGTGATTCAAATTATAAATTGTATTTGGAATAAAAATGAGAGAACTAGGGGTGCTAAAACACACATCCTCCAAAGACAGATATTTACATGGGAATGTGGCATATAATTAATTGACATATTACTGATCTTGCTGGATTTTATTCTGCTTTACTTCTATAAATTGCAGGATCATCTTTACTTTATCTTTGCCAGAAGATTTAAACTTTAAAAGTCTTGCCCTCATAATTTGCAAGTTAATTTATTTATAAAGTAAATATAAACGCTGCTTAAGCTAATTCAAATGAAATTAAAAGTAAAATAAGTAGCCAACCTTATCACTGTCTGTAACCTACTAACACGGTAAGGAAAGCATCAGATGAGCTACCTGAGAAACTAACGTTACGTTTCCCCACTTTAAAACCAAACAAACATGGTGGTTCCGTGCCATGTTAATTTCTTTTGAAAAAAGTTGCATGTTATCACTTTTTTCGCTTTACAAAGCACAGGCTATTTTAATTATTGTGATCAATTTGCGCCGTCAATCCCGGTGCATGCGCGCTTCATTTGCAGTCTGGACGCTGAGGCTCTGACTGAGAGGGACTCCTGCGGGAAAACGCGGTTGGGGTGGGGGAGGCGCCCCACGGCAGAGTAGGAACATGCATGCTTTCACGTAAGAGTCCCCAAAAGCCGCCAGTGACACCGAAAAAAGTCGCCAGATTTGTCGCTAGTCGCTTTTTTGAAAAATAGTCGCTGGAGGGGTCTGAAAAGTCGCGGAGTTGGCAACACTGCACCTGCGGCGCTGACTCGCTCTGCCGTATTTTTTTTTCTTCCTCTTTCAGTCAAGAGGCAGTGATGACGGCGCGGCGGATGACGCAATAATCGCGCGACACAACTAATCGATGATGAAATTCGTTGCCAACGCTTTTAAAAGTCGATTTTTATCGATTTTATCGATTCGTTGTTGCAGCCCTACATCAGAGGTTTAAAGACTAAAAAATAACAAGGAACAAAAACTGAAAAGACAAAGGAGTCAAAGTCAGGACCACGTTTGTGATCTGTTGACGGTTAGAACCGGTCAGCAATCATCGTAAAACAAAAACCTGGACGACCTCAGAGCTGATTCAGCTCCTTTGGAAGCGTCCTGCGTCTCTGTGGACCTGAGGTTCGGTCACCATCCCTCCCACTGATTGCTGAGTCTCAGCTCAAACAGCTGACCCATTGGCCTAAAGGTCACATCTTGCCCCCCCATGCACAGGTGCTGCATGTCTGCAGACTTTACCGCTGCTCATGCTTGAAAGCATAGATCTAAGACTTTCCCATTTTTGTGTTAAGAACTACAAGAACATAAATTTGATCTGAAGGTTTCAGCCTATATAGATTTAGAGTTTAAAATTAGAATGTAAGATTTAAAGCAATTAAATACTAGGTAATTAATTGTTAATTGATTAATTTATTGTAATATATATAATTTATCTAATATATTAATATTAATATCAGTTCACCAGATCATACAGTCAAATTGATTAAAAGTTTTCCAGTTAATTGCATCGACTCATTGACTCGAATGCAATCCCTCACACTAAGCATGCTTGTAGCGACAGTGGAGAGGAAAAACTCCCTTTTAACAGGAAGAAACCTCCAGCAGAACCAGGCTCAGTGTGAGCGGCCATCTGCCAAGATTTCTAAGTCTAAATAGGCTTGTTTGTAAAAGTGCAAATAATAGTTTTCATTGTTTGGTTTTTGTAATCAAGAAGTTTGATATTTAATTTGATCACATATTGAACTCGACCCAGATTTAACCAAACCTAAACTGAAACTCTGTTAGTGCTGTTAATGTTCTTAACAGGAAGAAGAGCCCAAGTTCAATTTTTTTCTTAAGGCCCCATTCAGCCTTTGACCTAACTTAAATCACAGAGCCGGGCCTCTTATGTGAAGGGAAACACTACTGAAATTAAAATAACTTAATTGGTCATAAAAAGACTTTCCACGATCTTAACTCGAAATAGATGAAAATCTGTTTGCCCTGCAGAGAGGTGGGTTATGGTTTCAGCCCAGGGACAAAATTTCCTTCCAGCATTAAACTCATCAACTATATATTCAGTACACCAAAACTTTATTTAATTCAATAAAAGCTGTGCTTAAAATGTAAAATTTCTATTGGTCTACATCTTTTTGAAGTAAAAACTCTACTTTCATCTTTAAAGTCTCCAAATAATAAAAGGGGCTCAATTGCTTTTGCATTTTTTTAATATAAGTGGCCATTTTGCAGGTGATCTGTGTGAATATTAAGACATGGAACCGGTTTGTTTTGCCCTTTAAAATGAGCAGATCGCTTGTTCTAATAGCAGTTTAAGAGTGGAGAAAAATAAATTTGAGTTTCTAAGCCCTGGAGATGAAGACCATAATGATAATTATTTAAAAGATAGTAATGAAAATACTAATATTTATAGCGCTGCTCACATAGGAAGACTTTCTTAGAGCTATGAAGAAAAGTAAAAAAGCAAAAACAAACATGCGTCATGCATGATTATGTTTTAATAAATCAAGGGAGATAAAAATCCCTCCTGTAATGAATAAGAGATGCACACTTTTGCATTTTGCTTTTCCTCAACCCATATTAATGCGGCACACACACCAAAAATGATTTGCACGCACATTTACGGCTAAAAATGCAAAAGGAAATCACTTTCTATAAAGATTTGCTCTGCATCTAAAGTCATGTTTGCATCCGTTTTAAAACACCACCTTTCTTAAGATCAGAACTAAAGTCCTTTTATGAATGGAACCAAATAGAAACAGCTCTGTTGGAGCCCATTGGTTGGTCTGAACTTTCAATGGTATTTTTCTTCATCATTTTTTAGGTTGTTGAAATAAACTCTTTTTTTGTATTACAGGAGTCAAATCTGGGGAAGACCTGCCCTCCAGTAAACTAGTAAGTAAAAATAAATATATTTACAGGTAGAACCTTTAGATACATCACTTAAAAACAGCTTTATAAGCATAAGTTCTAGATTCAGTCAATCCAGACAGATTTCACACAGTTTTACTTTTTCAAACATTTTTGTCAAATCAGATCTATTTTTTCCCTTGAACTTCTACACATGATAACAAAGTAAAAAAGATGTATTAAAAAATATTTCCAAATGTATTGAAAATGGAAACTGTTCATACTTTTTCAGCTGTGCTCAATTCTTTGTAGCATCTTTGGCAGCAACCACAGCCTTCAATATGTTGGCTCTTTTTGGGTTTTATTTAGCATTGCTGTCTCATTCAGGTCGAGTTTGCAGCATTAATAACTCTAGAACAGCTCTAGAACAGAGGTCTTCAACAGGGGGTCCGCAACCCCTAGGGGTTCCACAGAGGTACTGCATGGGGGTCGAGAATGTTTTGGTTGATTAGACTTTTTTTTTTTTATATTCCCCCCTGCAGTTTTTTTCCCCACTAATTGAAATGTCTTTAAATCCACATCAACATGAATTCAACACACTGTAGTAAACAGATAAATGGAGGCAGAAGATGTCTTTCAGTCATCAATGCACACATTCAGCGACACACAGGAGATCTTTCAAACTGGGCACCGTTTCATTCACAACACCTGTCCCATCAACCAGGAATCAGAACCAGAAATACTTCAATAATCCCAAATTAATCCCAAATTACTTTTGTTACATTACTCCATCTGTAATAGAGTGACTATACGACCAGTTTGATTTAATACAATTTCATACAATTGTCATGATGTTTCAAAGTTCTGACCCAAAAATGCAGAAAACCGAACAGAGAGTCCAGGGAAAAGGTTTAACGGGTTTTATTGGAGAAGTAAACAGAGGGAGAAGTGTCGCTCAGAACACTGCTCAACCGGAACTGTAAAGTGAGGGGAAGACACAGCGGTTAGTTCCGGCTCAGTGGGGAATTTGACTCGTGAAACTTGGAGAAGAGGATTTGGTTGCCGACTCACGTTTCCAGTAAAGTTGTGTCCTTGACTCCTGTCTGTGTGCCGTGGTTCCAGTGTCTGTCTGATTCCGTTTTACCCAGAATGCGGTTGATTGTTGGAGAACGGAGAAACTGACTGCCACTCAGATTTCCTACGGGACTTGAACGGGTCGTTGTGGAGAATAATCCCTTTCTCATTGAGAAGCTCAAAGGATCTCTTGGGGAATGTGGATCCAAACCTCCTGTTTGAATCACAGCTCAGTTTGAAGCTCAGTTGATCCTTCCAGGTAGTGAAGGTCCGGGAGAGCCAGTTAGCAGGAAAAGACAAAACAAAGTTAAACTCAGGTTGACAAAAACTCAGCTTGGCTAGAGTACCCTAAACTGGCAAACACTCTGGCGTTGAGTTAGTGGCAGTCAGCAGCTTAAAGGAATAGTACACCCAAAACATGATAGCCTTCATTTTCTACTCACCCCCATGCTGAACAACACTCTGGAGTACTTTTTTGATATCTCAAATGCATCTGGAGATCTGGGAGGCTTCTTGCTGTCTGCTGACATTCAAATAATGGAGGTCTATGGCGCCCGAGGCAGAAAGGTCCATAAAAGTCCACAAAAAACGTGTCAATATTCCTCCATGCTGCTCGTCCAATGTATTCCAAGTGTCCTGAGTGGGTAGCATCCAGAATTTACTCGAAACGAAGTCATTTAGAATGTTTTTAGAGCATAAACAGTAGTGTATAGGATTTCCTGAAAGCGCGCGCCTGCACGTTCCTGACACTACGGAAACCGCGGCAGACCAAACCAGATGAAAGTGCGCATTCAGCTCGGCAAAGAACTCATGCTCTTCCTCAACACTGAAGTCCTCAGACATTTTTCTTTCGTTGTTTCTTTCTTTGCACAGGTAAACAGCACATTTCTGCTTCTACGCTTGCATTATCGGCAGAGCAGACGCTGAATGCGCACTTTCATCTGGTTTGGTCTGCCGGCTTCCGTAGCGTCGTGAACGTGCAGGCGAGCGCTTTCAGGAAATCCTATAAACTACTGTTTATGCTCTAACATCATTCTAAATGACTTCGTTTCGAGTAAATTATGGACGCTACCCACTCAGGACACTTGGAATACATTGGACGAGCAGTATGGAGGAATATTGACACGTTTTTTGTGGACTTTTATGGACCTTTCTGCCTCGGGCGCCATAGACCTCCATTATTTGAATGTCAGCAGACAGCAAGAAGCCTCCCAGATCTCCAGATGCATTTGAGATATCAAAAAAGTACTCCAGAGTGTTGTTCAGCATGGGGGTGAGTAGAAAATGAAGGCTAATCATGTTTTGGGTGTACTATTCCTTTAAGAACACTCCGTTTAACGAGGAAACCATCCGCAGGTATGTGAGGAGGTGGACCAGAACCAGGCGCCTCCTGGTGAATGAAGGGAGACAAACACAGAAAACACAGAAACAAAACAGGAGTCCTGACAACAATATATATAATAAGGGGGTCCCCACTCCACCTTGCCATCAGTTTGGGGGTCCTTGGCCTGGAAAACATTGAAGACCCCTGAGCTAGAACATTGATCAACAGCTTCAGCAGCTCCTTCTCTGTTATCTTGATGTTTCTTTTACTCAATTTTTTTTTTGTCGGAACGGAGCTGTCATATCCCTCATGCCACCTAATTAGCAACAGCTGAGTTGGTTTGGGTTCTTGCTCACTTGTCTGACCAACAGCTGCCTGCACAGATTCTTCATTCTGATTAGGAAGCCAAATCTGGGAGCCCCTCGGCTGTTTCAAGCTTCTTCCAGTTTCAAACAATCAAAACTTAAAGGTTTCTCAGGATGTTCAGTTTTTGCACACTTCCCGTAAGTGTGCACTTTGATACAAACAGTCCTGTAAGTCTAAACCCTTTTCTTTTGATTTATTTATCTGGTTTTTGTTCTGATGTTTCCTGTCTGAACATTCAAATTTACGAAATAAAAGTTTCCATAAAGAGGAGGAGACGTCTGAAACATGATCGGTGGAAACAGGATTTAAATCATGTAAATATGAATCCACATTATGGAGGCATTTTTTGCTGAATTTTGATCCATTTGAACCCATTTTGAAGTAACTAATTGCTGAAAATTTAAGGAGCAGATTCTTTACAATCTTTTAGATAGCTTTCACTGGAAAAACGATCTATAAATAAGTAAAAATGTCTTAAATTAAGTGTATTTATCCTTAATTTGAGTAGATAAATGAGGTAGTTGGCCAATGGAATGGTTATTTTTACTCTTAAAATAAGATAATTAGATAATATGCACATGAAATAAGACAATGCAATTGTGTTTTCTTATCTGGTCAGACAAATGTGCTGATTGACATTATTGTAGACCTTCTTCGTAGGGAAAAGCCGTTGCTCCTAAGATTTAGCCGTTATTTTAACTGAAAATTACCGTAATATCACCAAACTGAATGGAAAATAAGAATAACAGAGCAAGCTTATGTAACGCAGTTACACACTGCAAAAAAATGGAAATCTAAATAAGTAATTTTTGCTCAAATTAAGTGCATTTTTTCTTGAATTGAGGAGGTAATTGAGACAGTTTTGCCAATGGAACAAGACAATTTACATAAAACAATTGCTTTGTCTTATTTCAAGTCTATATTATCTAATTATCTTAGAGTAAAAATATTCATTATATTGGCAGATCATCTAATTTACCTACTCAAATTAAGGGTATCTTAAAAAAGTGTTACTTCTACTACTACTTTCTACATAATTTTTCCAGTGTATAATCAGTGATCAATCATTTCATAAAAAGGGTTTAGATTGGATTAGTGTTCATTTCCTCCCTTCTTCTTTAGGATTTTTCCTTTGTTTAGTACCTAGTACACTGGAAAAAATTATCTAGAAGTAAGTAAAAATGTCATAAATTAAGTGTATTTACCCTTGATTTGAGTAGGTAAATGAAATGATTTGCCAATGGAATGAGTCGGTTTTTTTCTTAAAATAACATATTTAGATAAAATGCACTTGAAATAAGACAATGCAACTGTGTTTTCTTATTTTAAATGTAAATTGTCTTGTTCCATTGGCAAAATGTCTCTTTTACCTTCTCAAACTAAGAACAAATGCACTTCTTTGAATAAAAAATTACTTATCTAGATTTTGATTTTTTACAGTGTAGTAGCTGATCTTGACTGATTCAAAAATCTGTGTCTGAATCTCATATTTATCAGCTTTGGACAGCTTGAATCCAAATGTTCAATGTGTTATACTGGAAAAACGAAAGCTAGGCAAGTAATTTTTTCTTAAACTAAGTACATTTGTTTTTTAGATTGAGGAGGTAAAAGAGACATTTTGCCAATGGAACAAGACAATTTTCACTTAAAATAAGAAAACACAATTGCATTGTCTTATTTCTAAAAAAAATACTCATTCTATTGGCGGATCATCTTCTTTACCTGCTCAAATTAATGGTAAATACACTTAATTTAAGAATTTTTTTACTTATTTCTAGATGTTTTTTGCAGTGCATCATCTGAAATGGTCACACAATGACCTCTGACCCCTCCTTAAAAGGTCTGAGCCTCTAGTTTCCAATGATGGTGGCCATTAGGGGGCGGGGCTATAAATAAATTCCTGCTGTTGCATTACTCCAGCAGAGTTACACATCAGGTGGAATTTTAAATCTCATTTTATTTGTTTACACAGCTTTTAAACAATAATTATTTGTGAAAAAAATTTATTTTGAAACATGTTTTAGAAATTTTAAAGCCCCATTTGAAAGGTGTGTGGATGAAACACCATGTGACTGCGTTTTGGCCATTTCTATGAATAGATAAACATGAGCAGGTGTCAGCTGGGCCCTGTACCGGGCCTGCCGGGTTTAAGGGGTTAATATAGTTTTGGGTTAATTCTATCATAGATCTGGTGTCATTAGAGGTAAACTGTAAACATCAAAGCTGTTAGTCTAACAGAAATTAATTCTCCGTCTGCAGAACCCCTCGAGGAAGCAGGGATAAGCCCGACTTCTAAGACCGCCCTCTCAGTCCGAGAATCTGCCCTCACCCATCGGCAACAGTGGAAACCATAGTATTTGCACTTTGTACTTTAAAAAAAAAAAGAAAATGTAAATTCACTTTGTAGAAATTAGATATTTAAACAGACTGCTGAATCTGTGAATGGTGTAGTTAGAGTTTTATGTCCTGACAAGCAACAAATACTAAACACATACAATGTATGTGTCCTTTGTGTGTCTAAAAAGTGTACTTTAAAAAAAAACACGGCGCAGGTTTTCATGTTTGATGCTACATTTTTGTCCCAGTTAACTTTCAAGACAGATATTTGTATAGTTTGCTGCATAGCATCAATGAATTAGACCACATTATCTGTTGTCTGCTTATCTGTTACATGGATTTTTGTAAAGCAGTTTGGAGGAATGTATTAATTAATCATGCAGTAAATCATCAAAATGTCTTACATGTTCACATATATTCATCTTTATTAGAAATAAAGAACTCTTTTATACATGCTGTGTTTTTTGGTTCTGTCAGTCGATCGCTTTGCTTCCCTAAAACCACATTCATGTTTTATAGCTTGCCTTGTCATATAAAAAATCCCATCTTTGTCTTTTTGTATTTTCTTATGCAGCCTTTATTAAAACAACTTGTCGACATCTTCTTTAAGAGCCAAGTATTAGTCATACATAGCAGAGGTTGTGTATCTTTCCATCTAACAAACGTTTGCCAGTTCCCCGGAGGCGACATTTTTAAATTGGAACAAGTGATGCGGTTCTTGTTAGAGATTTTCCTCATGCACTGCAGACTCATAAAACAGGAAAACTCGTTAGTACCAGTTTCTTTTTAAATAGAGAATTAGGAAACCAAAGTAGTTATGATGATTTATTGATATTTTTTTATTTCGTTTTTAAAGTTTATCAGACTGTTTATAAGCCTTTTGTTTCTAATTACACATTTATTCGTCCCTGAGGTGTAACTATAACCTAACCTCTAAGGTAATTTCTCTAAGCAACGTTTAAAAAACAGACAAGATAACGGCATTTAAAAAAGGCAAATGTGTTAGACTTAAATCAGGATACGGTAAGAAAAAGTTATTTACAGAAAAGCAGCTTTAGGAAAAGAGGCTGGATAAGGATCCAAAGAGCAGTGAAATGAAGGATGATATATAGGTAGCTGGAGAATCCTTCAACAAATGAACGCAATGAGGTTTTTAAACTAGCAGGGGGAGAAGGAAACTGGGGAAAGCAAACTCTCCAGATACTATAAACATGAAACTGAGCAAAACCACAAGAACAAGATCTGCAAACAACCAAAGAAAACAGAACATATTAAAAATAGTCTTTAATGTGGAAAAAAAAACCCACATCAGAGCAAAAACAGTCATTCAGTAAATGACAAACCAGCTGTTTGAAGGTTTTCATAGACGACAGTTTTTATATGATCATGATTGTAAATGTCTGGATGCAACTGAGACTTTAACTAAAAACGAAAACCTCAGAGTGGATTCAGCCTGAAAGGAGCACCTCATGCATACTGCTGAATATGGTGGAGGATGTATGATGCTCTGGGCTCACTTGAGCCCACCTGCCCCCACCCATCCTCCCCACCTTCTCCAGAAGCACCATAGAGAGCGTTCTGAGCAGCTGTCTCCCTGTGTGGTGTGAAGGCTGCAGCGCCTCAGACTGGAAGAAGGTGAGAACAGCAGAGAGGATCATGGGGGCTCCTCTTCCCTCCATTAAAGACATTTCATCCCAGCGCTGCGTGTCCCAAGCCCGTGACATCATCAATGACCCTTGACTCCCCCACCATGGACTGTTCTCCCTGCTGCCCTCTGGGAAGAGGCTTCAACGCATTCAATGCAGGACCAGCAGATTCCATAACAGCTTCTCCCCCACCGCCATCAGACTGCTGAACTGTTGAGAAAACTAAACCATGTCACAGACTCTGCATCACACTGACAATCCAAAACACTCTAATGCTGTACAAAAGGTTTAGTTTTGCATACAATGGATTAATCTGGGTTAATCACACACCTTTCACTCTCTTCAGACGTTAAATGGGTTGCATCTAGTTGGTAGGGGAGACTATAATCTGACTTTTATGCCCAAATACTCCTGCTTAGTTTGGTGTAGACAAAAATCATTCTTTGTTAAATGAGAAACAGCATCTTATGGTCACGGTTAAGTGAAGTAAAGCATCTGTAGCCAGAGCTGGACCTGCTTTGGATCTACAGGGCATTGGCCAGGTGGGGGACGCCCATTTTAAAGGAATAGTACACCCAAAACATGATTAGCCTTCATTTTCTACTCACCCCCATGCTGAACAACACTCTGGAGTACTTTTTTGATATCTCAAATGCATCTGGAGATCTGGGAGGCTTCTTGCTGTCTGCTGACATTCAAATAATGGAGGTCTATGGCGCCCGAGGCAGAAAGGTCCATAAAAGTCCACAAAAAACGTGTCAATATTCCTCCATACTGCTCGTCCAATGTATTCCAAGTGTCCTGAGTGGGTAGCGTCCATAATTTACTCGAAACGAAGTCATTTAGAATGTTCTTAGAGCATAAACAGTAGTGTATAGGATTTCTTAAAAGCGCATTCACGAGTCTACGGAAACCGCGGCAGACCAAACCAGACGAAAGTGCGCATTCAGCGTCTGCTCTGCCGATAATGCAAGCGTAGAAGAAGAAATATGCTGTTTACCTGTGCAAAGAAAGAAACAACGAAAGAAAAATGTCTGAGGACTTCAGTGTTGAGGAAGAGCATGAGTTCTTTGCTGAGCTGAATGCGCACTTTCATCTGGTTTGGTCTGCCGCGGTTTCCGTAGACTCGTGAACGCGCTTTTAGGAAACCCTATACACTACTGTTTATGCTTTAAAAAACATTCTAAATGACTTTGTTTTTGAGTAAATTCTGGATGCTACCCACTAAGGACACTTGGAATACATTGGACGAGCAGTATGGAGGAATATTGACACGTTTTCTGTGGACTTTTATGGACCTTTCTGCCTCGGGCGCCATAGACCTCCATTATTTGAATGTCAGCAGACAGCAAGAAGCCTCCCAGATCTCCAGATGCATTTGAGATATCAAAAAAGTACTCCAGAGTGTTGTTCAGCATGGGGGTGAGTAGAAAATGAAGGCTAATCATGTTTTGGGTGTACTATTCCTTTAAGGGCAGCCCAAGGCTGTCATAGTGTAATAAAAACCTGATTTATCATTAAATATATCAATATATAGTCAGAACTTATTCATTTATCAAATGATAATCCAGTGAAAGAAAGTAGAAATTAATATCACTCAAAAATATTCATAAAAACATGATTTCTTTATTAATAACTTGTTTCATAAATTTCCTATTTTAGTTTTTACAGTACCTAAATTTCCCAATAATTTTCCTTTATCAAATATTTATTTTGAAATTACAAATCAGAGGATGTGATCAGTTGGAGGGAGTGGTGGGCTAGTGGTTAGAGCATAGAGCTTGGAATTCTGAGGGTGTGAGTTCAAAACCCCCATCAACAGACTGCCACTCTGGCTCCCTGAGCAAGACCCTTAGACCCACACTGCTCCCTGAGTGCCGCACAATGGCAGCCCACTGCTCCCTAAGAGGATGGGTTAAATGCAGAGAGAGAATTTTGTTGCTCTGTATTTGTGACAGTGAAAATAAAACACTGGGAAAAAAAGTTACTTAACATCAGAGCAGCCTTTTTACCATTCTTTTAGGCTTAATTTATTTTTTTTCACCATTTATTATTGAAGCTTCTGAAATTGTACATATCTCCTCTGTTATGATGGATGTCCTCACATAGAATGGAACAAATCATGGTGGGTGGCCAGAACCCAAAATAACTGGGTCAATATTTGGTCCCGGTCCAGCCCTGCCTGTAGGACTTATCGTGCATTTTAAGCTATCCAACTAGAAAAGGCTAAAGGGAAATGGCAAAAAAAATAAAAAATAAAAAGTCTTTATAAAAAAGTTTTAACACGCACTTGAGATTACGGAAGAGGATTAGGGCCAGTGGGGAAAAAAAAAAAAGTTAACTGATTTTTACATTTTATTTCAGTTTAGTATGGGGGAAAAGTCAGAATTCTGACTTTAATCTCAGAATTCTGACTTTAGTCTCAGAATTCTGACTTTTTTTATTGTCAGAATTCTGACTGAATTCTGAGATTAAAGTCAGAATTCTGAGAAGAAAGTCAGAATTCCGAGATCAAAGTCAGAATTCCGGAATCAAAGTCAGAATTCTGAGAAAAAGGTCAGAATTCTGACTTTAATCTCAGAATTCAGTCAGAATTCTGACTTTTCTCCCATGTTGGACTGAAATAAAATGTAAAAATCAGTTAACTTTTTTTTTTTTTTTTCCTTCCAGTGGCCCTAATCCTCTTCCGTATGAGATGTCTTTCCCTCCCAAAAAAAAAAAAAAAAAAAAAAAAAAAAATCGGTGAACTAAAGAGGCTATCTGTTAATCACATTTTCAGCATAAACTGATTCAGGAAATATTCTCCACAAATTATTATGTTGCTTGTTGTTAGATTTACAACTACCTGCCCAGTTGCGACACTCTGCTGAAAACTTCTCAATTTTTCTCCCATCTGAGGTCCATGCTAGTTTATAGCGTCTACTTCCTGGTTATTACAGCAGCGAGTACCAACTGCTAAGAAAATGACACTTTGCACAGCCTGGTTGACTTATTCCAGACTAGTAGGTGCAAACACACTTCATTTGCAATTTATTTTTTCAATTTTTGTTTAATATGCTTAAGATTCAAATGACGATTGGACAGGAGGATAGCAAGTGTCACTTTGGGACAGTTATTTTTCCAAAAGCCCTGAATAAAAAAGCACATCACAGAAATAAACTACCGTAATGTTTCGTCACAGAAAACTCAAAATCGATCATGAATTTTAGCAGAATAATAAATCAAAATATGAGACCAAAATTACACAAAGCTGTTTTGATCACAAATTCAACCTATTTGCTGAACAAACATGTTTCTAAAAATAATTTTTTTAATATGGGATGCTTTTGTTTCCACACTAAATGAAGGGATTTCCTACACTGCAAAAAAAAAAAAAATTCTGAATAAGTAAATTCTTCTTAAAATAAGTGCCTTTTTTCTTGAATTTAGGAGTTAAGAGACACTTTGACAATGCAA